TTCCCATGTCAACCAGCGCTGTAGCTTTGTAATAGAAGGCTACCAGATTGGTCAGGCACAAATATGTGCGTGACTGATCTGGTGGCAGATGTTGCAGTCAGATAATTTAAGACCTCTTGCTAAGCTGCATCAAAGCCCATGGCATCCTCTGTAACCTCAAAAAGAAGAGTCTAAGATTCCCACAAGAGACAGATGAATGAAGCCTTCTCTCACCAGTAGAGCACTAAAAAACTCAATGTGGTTGAAAGTTTTGTGTTAGGTTATCCAAGTAATACTCTTTGTAAAAATTACTCACCTTTTTAAAGAAAAAGGGAAAGAACATATTAAATGTTCTGATACAAAACATTAAGCAAGAATTTCAGTACTATTTCTTTTCTTACAGCCTTTGCCTTAGTTCTCTTGTGCTTAGATATTTTCTTGGTGTAGAAGATTCCTCTCTCTCTCCCAGGAACCGATGAAATACCCAGTAAATTACTTTTGAGGAAGGAGCTCTTTTTGGAGATGTTGTTGTTGCCTCTATTATTAAAGTACAATTGGCTCTCTTTAAGATAAAAACAAGAAAAGTTCATTCTGTTGGAAAAGAACATCAGAGAGAGGAAATAAAACTTCCCTTTCTAAGGATAGCTTCATCTGCAGCATGAGTACTTGAGAAAAACAGACCTGGCAATGGTCTTATTCAGCACTTGGGATTTATCTAGACTTTTCGGGTAATTTTTGATTTTAACTGTGTTTCTAGTTACAGGTTCGCAGCACTGTTGGCAAAAAGCTTTTTGAGCCAACTGAATCTGCATCAGAACTAGTCATTATTTTCCACAGTTGTACGCATTTCAGATGTGTTGTCCAATGCCATTCGTTGGCCTCTAAGAATTCCAGATGTTATTCATTCTGAAATCTCTGGCTCACAGTAGTACCTTAGTACTGTCCTCTGGCTCTAGTAGCGCACATTTTCTACTCTAAAGTTTTAGAAGCTACACACTGTGTCTCTGTTAATGCTTTCATGGACAGCATTGCTGTCAGATTATGTCAGATATTACAATAGTTGTCTTATCCATAAATGTTCTATTAGTAGAAAGAATTTTAAACTTTGATATTTTTTAAAAATTCTGGATGCCCTGGAATTCAGAATTCTCTAATCAGTCCTTATCCCTTCAAGACTTACCAATATTATAAGCAGTCCCTTCTGCCTTCTTTCTCTCTTTCCAGATAACCCATCTTGAATTTACTATTATCTAATCCTTCTTGCTCAAACAAGCCCTTTTCCCTTTTTTCCCTCAGCTAGAAAGTTTGAAAACTCTTACGTTTCCTGAGTGCTTCTGTGCATATAAGCCATGTTTTTGGAAGAGACCTAGCAGGAGAGAGATTGTAACTTATAGCCCTGGGTGGCATCTTGATGGACCTCTGACTTCGTGTGATGTGCCCAGCACTTTTTTTCCAGTGTATCTGTCACCAGAAATACAATGTGGTACACCTAGGACACAAACGCAGAGTACATAGCACCATTCCAGCTGTCTTTGCAGATCCAGTTGGACACTTAGTAGAATGAAGATAAAGAAGTAGCAAAGGGACATCATACAGAAAGAAAGAAATGATACCAGATTAATATTGGTCTTGGGTCCTGAGCAGTGTTTGGCATTTAGTACTGGCCATTAGAGATAGGGAAGTCACCTATTTCCTTTAGGTAGTAGCCCATTTTGATAACTTTCAGAAAAATTAAGACCCAGAGCTGCTGGGACAGGCATTCTGAAAGGTGTCTGAAATTATGGTGCTGAAACTCGGTCCCCTTTGAGTAGCAGCCCTTACCAAAACAGCATGCAAGAAGATGCTGACTTCGTGTCATTAATCAGTCAATTACGTATCTCTGGAAAATTGTCCTCTCTTTCATTCCAACCCATAAGTTGATGAGTTTCAAGGACTCTACTACCTGCCTCTCAAATTAACTGTTAAAGTAACCTTTCTGAAATTGTACAACTAATCAATTCAATTCAAAGTTTTTACTGGAATCAACAGGGGCCTGTGCTGTACCCACGCAAAGAGCAGCATTTTTTACCATGTTTGTTGATCTCCAGATTTTCTTGAGACTTTTGAAGAGATGAAGAACCAGGAGTTGGAACGAAAGGCCCAAATAGAAGCCAGCATTGTTGCCCTCCTGGAACACTCAAGCAGGGTGAGTGCATTTCCCACTGCCTGTGGTACGCTAGGAATTTAGGGATGCAGAACAGGAGAGTGGATGGATAAAGAAGGATGGTGGGGTTTTTACAAGATCCAATCAGCATGTGCATAATAGTCTCTTAAGAGAATTAAACATTAAACCATGTACAGCTGTAGTTAAAAAAAAAAAAGTTGAATTTCTCTTTATTTCTGGAGAAGGAGTTTGAATATTAAATAATACATGTGACTAGAATAAAAAAAAAGTTTGTATAATTGCTCTAAGTCATCATCACTGGTGTAATCAACATTATTCTATGATGAATATTTCAAAATACGACAAGTATAACTACTGCAATATTTTGTTTACCAGAAGTTGGCAAATCTCGGTCCATAGCTGTTCTGTCACTACTGTTAAGTAACTGACAGTGTTCCAGTCGTCTCTCTGATCTACTAAAATTATGCCTGGAATGCCTTGCGGTGTAAGATTTTATGTAGGCACCTAAGAAATTGTTCCCATTTGCAATTTGCTTCTTTTTTTTTGCATTTGCAAAACATTTTTTCTTTCCACATTTTTGTTTCCATGGATTTTTTTATCTTATAGAAATCTTCCAGCCAAGTAATACTTGGATTATTATATCATCACTCTGTCTTTTAATTCTTTCAGTATGGTGTACCATAAAGTCTATTTTAGACAGTGACACTGTGGAAGAGATCGATACAGCAGCACAGTTTATACTTGCTGATTTTTTGTTTCATCTTCACTGGCCTGTCTGTACTTCTTTTATCAAAAGTTGTCAGAATGAAAATCATTCACATTTAAATCCCTTCAGGCTATTAACAATATTTTCAGTCTTTGTAGAAGAAAAGCCAAATAATAGACAACACGCTAGGGCAGAGGAAACTTTTTACTTGTTCAGTTACTGTGTGCTCATGTCCAGTAGCGTTTTCTCATTATTGTTGTTGGTAACACACAGAACGTGAATCGTATGAAGCAAATCTCATCAGTTACCAATCAAGAGCTGAAGATTATGCAGGAAGACCTCACTTTCAAATCAAATGAAATGCAGAAATCACAGAGCACTGCTAAAAATCTGATTACAGGTGAGATCAGAATTGAGTTTTTGAATTCATTCCTTAAAAAAATTAAATTTACCTGAGTTGCTACACAAACACCAAGATCAGTGATCTCCAAATGGTAAAATACAGTGTCAAACTGACAAATTGAAACTCCTAGTGGTAACAAGTTACTTATATTCCTCAGGATTATTTCACTTGCTGGTGTCAGTAAATGATCAGCTTCATTGCACAGATACATATTAAATGGGTGTATTCTAATGCACGGGTACAAAGTTCTTTCAGCTAGAATTTTGACTTTATTATATTCACCTCAGAATAAATATTTTTCACCATCTTACAACGATGTTTAGTAAATTGAGACTTCCACAGTTATCTAACCACGTATTATTTTTTCTTGATATCACTGATTTGTGGTTTGTGCTTTTCTAAAAGGGTGTGTACCATGGGAGACCAACTGGCAACAACAGTGAATAGCTCTCAAATTCTCAGGCTTTGGTTCTGCACAGTGAATATTCATTTTACATCGTTCTGGACATACTCAAGTACTTAAGTGTAAGAATCTGCAGGATCTTGCCTGTGTTTCAAAAAGCAGACAGTATTTTTCTTTAATTTCCATGACAAGTATCTATTTAGTTCTTTATTTGCACTGTTTATAGTGGAATTGTTCTCGTAACTCTGTGCCTTTGCCAATATCATTATTGGTTCAGCAAGCCTTTCCGTGTTTGTTTGGCTGAAAGGAAGGAGCAGGAATTAAGAACCATAAATCATGTTGTTAGAAGTCTATTACATGCTGTACTTGGTAGTAATTTTCAAAATAGGAGCCTGTGTTGCAACTTCAAAGTACTTGTGTGCAAGTAAGTTGTTATGCACAAAATATTACAGGAATTGGTTGTTCTCTGTTTGAACAACTTAGTGTTGACTTTTCTGCGAATGCTCGTTCTGCAGTTCTAATGTAGTTTAAAAAACAGGCTATGTATTACAAGTTCTGTTCTTTTGTGTAAGCATTAATTCTCATTACTTTGGAGTACAATACATAGCACATAGTATCTATAGCACATAGCACTGTGGAGACATTATTGAAATACTTAGTCCTTTGCAAGGGCAGAGAGGGAAGTTACAGTACATAATGTTCAACTAGTCATTTAAATGATTCAAATGTGAACCTCTGAGAGCAAGGACTCACAGATACAGTAATAAACAGCTTAAGATTCTTTCAAAAATACAGTGAATGTTCAATTTGCACCATTGAGATTCTTCCTGACCCTTGGTTTATAGCACAGTCATCTTCAGGATTCTTTTGTTGTCGTTAAAATCTGGATTTCCATGTTTTCTTGCTGTTACAAAGATTGAAGAAGTCCACCAGCAGAACCCATTAAAAAAAAAAAAAGGAAACCGTGAAGAGTAAACAGAAGTGCTGATGGCATAATTTCCCAAACACATTTCCCTGGGTCACTGTAGCTTGGTCTGAGAGTTTGCTGCAGTGCACACGCTGCCTGCAGACGCCGCAGGGTGTATCAGAAGGAACTGGGCTGCATCCTCTTCCGGTCTCTTCCCCTAGAGGAGTTTTGAGGGGTTTTAGTCTTGAGGTTTTTTCACTGAGGCTGTTGCTGGATAAGGATAAAATTCACTCCTTCCAGTTCCATCTCTTTTCTCCAGGAAGTGTAAATGGGTGGGAATAGCCCACCGCTGTCTCACCATGTTTTTTATCAGTATATACATAAAACAGTTTAAAAATTCTTTCTCTTTCTTTGGCATTTAAGTTATTATCACTCTTTACGTGTAAAATAAATACCAATTAGTCAGCCATGTGTTATTTTAAAGTAATGAAATATAAATAGTAGAACAACTACAGAAGCAAAAATGCTATGGTTAGGCCTAAAGAAATCCTTAAGAAAACTTGAAGTTGTTTTCTGCTATTTCTTTCTAATTTGAATTACTTTCATTTTAGAATTTTATTTTTACTGTTTTTTATGTTAAAGTTCTGACTTATTGATGTCCTGAAGCATTTGTCTCTCTTCAAACCACAGTGGCATAAGAAAAATAGAGCCGTGCTCTAGTCATTTGTGATTGAGGATCTGACATTGATTAACGCCAGGAACTCCAAAGTGAAACTATGGGCAATTATGAAATATCCTAGACACAGGCACAGTATTTTCTTAAGCCCTGTATAGTAGAAGGCAACATAAACATTGAATCACAGACCTGCAATGTAGTTCCAAACCATTTGAGTTTAAACCCATGTTTTTACCAATATGGAGACTTCTTGTATTTGTATAAAGACAGTTTGCACAATATAGGATAATTACATATTATAAACAAAAACCGTGGCTTGTCCTTTTGTTTTATTGAGTTTCCTAAAGAAATCACCAAAGCACTCTGTAATAAGCCAGAAATGTTGGTTAAAGCCAATATTTCACTCTAAAAAATGAATGTGTAGGATAAATATGCAGGAGAGAGATGAATACTAAGATCTTGCTATGGCAGGGTGTTGATCAGGTGAGATTTCCCCAAATAATTCTGCTGAGGAAACCATACCCACAGTTTTTGGAGACTCTCTGTCTGTCACATACACATGTCCCCTCCCTTCTGCCAGAAAGATCTGTACTGCTGTGGCTAAGCTAGGAGGAAAATTTCCTGCCTTTTTCCAGGGATCGTCACAAATGTGAGTGTGTGTTTAGAGAAGTTTCTTTGTGGTGTCTCATGTCTCCAAATAGCCCCCTCTGCCTGATATTTTAGAATGTAGAAAATATAACTGTATTATTTGTATCATTCTTCTGAGTTAGACGTGTTTAAATGTTCAGAAACATGAGGAAAATGCAGTGACAAGGCTGAAGATCAGAAAACCATCCAGAACAATTCCAACCATGTCTAGTCCCTCCACATTCACAGTGGCCCCCAAAACTGGGTCAAAGTATATTTTTTATTTTGTGTATCTTTGTGTCCTCTCTTAAGCACCTCATGTCTGAACAGCTTCAGCCTTTACATCTCCCTGTCAATACTTCTAACTCCCTTAATTATTTGCATCTCTGTTGTTCCTTTCTAATGGATTGTCAGATGTAAATGCTGTATATAATAGCACGTGCTTATTTTGTAAACTGTGACAATTCTTTATACTGTGGAGATAGGGAAGTACTTTCCTCTACAGAGCAAATGTTTAAAGCAAATTTGGCTATTACTCCCATAGGACTAAGTCTTACCATATGCAAGCAATATAAATAAAAAGACACAATGCTAAAAAAATATTTTTTTTTTTAGTTATCTCCATTATTGCAGTCATCTTTTTGTAAGGTATCACCATTGCTGTAATACTTGAAGTTGACTGATGGTATAAACAACTTTAACAATAGAAATACCATTCTGTGACATAGAAAATCACTAACTTTTCATTACTCTTCCCTTATGGAGTGTAATACAGTAATTGTAGTATAGTAATCTGACTTATGGGATGATTGTGAATATCAGGTTTTTTTCTTCAATTCATATTAACATCCCTACGAATATTGAAAGATATGTAGGAACTGTTTGTATCACTCATGTACATAAACCTTTATATACTAGGCAATGTATTATGAAATAAGAAGGGCTATTAATTAGAGATTACATCTGTGGTGATCTAGAGAGTCAAAAGCTCCAAATGGACTTACAGAAGATGGAACTCTTGGAAGGCAAGATGATTGATGAACTGGCTTCTCTTAAAGACAAAATTGAACAAACAAAAACGGAACTGGAGGTCTATAATAATTTGCCAGCTCTGAAAGCATCGGGAGAAGAGAAGAAAAAGGTAATGAGAGGAATGAAGCCATGAATTATACAGAATTTGTATGGGTTTGAGCACCTGGTAGAGGGGAATCCAGGTCTATGGCTGGGAATCCTGACTAAGAGCTGAAAACTGGGCTTACACCTGAGTGGAAATGAATCCAAATGCTTCTGTGTTTATATATTTGATTTATTAACCGTGTGCGTTTAGCAGGGTATTGGCTGGATACCCTTTGGTAACTTCCTTCTGCAAATTTTCTCATTTATTTGAGTGGTTCATCTGAACATTTCTCCTGTAACTTATGACTACCCACTAATTCAGCAATCTAACCACAGAACCCTGACAAAAAAGAAAATTCTACCTGGTGCACATGCACTCTGAGAAAAACTCCATCTAGAGCACTTCCTGTTTCACATGTGGTAAATTTCCTGTGAATTCTTAACATCACTTATCCTACTTGTGCTGATATAATATGGTCATGCCTACAAGTTGGTCATAACAATCGAATATTATCTTTAGGATAGAGCATGCATTGATAGAGAAAGGCCTTCCAAGTTCTTCATGTATATGATCTTGTTCTGAAAATAAGAAAAAGCAGCATCTTGAAAAGTGAATTAAAATAATTTCTCTGTAGCCTACAGCAAATAAGCTCATCAATTGACTGGTTTGTGTTGGGGTTTTTCCAACTAGAGGCTCCAGGATGACAAAGAAAAATTAACAAAACGTAACCATGGTTTCAAGAAAATAATGGAACACTTGAATGCAGAGTACGAGACACTAAAGAGAGAGCTGCAGGAGAATGAGACGCATTCGCAGGTATAGCTCGACTTATGTCTTATCTCTTCAGCTGTTTCTGTCACAGCTTTGGTTTTCTCATACATATGAAGCATTGTATGGACAGAATCATTTTATTCCATCTCAGGGAGTTCTCAAAACCATATTGTCTGTTTCCAAACAAAAGTTAATATTGTGCCAATAAATTTCATGTGAGCTTCATATTTCGAAGTTATGAGACAGAGGTCTTTCTGAGGTTAAAAATTGTGGAAAAAAACCTTTTAAGTGTTAGTATTAATTTTGCTCAGAGCACTCTTCCTTTTGCCCTTCCTTTGCTCAAGGAGTTTTGAGACCAATTTAGAAAGAATCTACAGGGAAAAAAAATTGCTATTAATTAGGTAAGATCCCTTTTGCTTTTAAAATTATGGTAGTAAGTTTTTACTTGGAACCCGTACTACTAATTCCATTTCCTTTTTTCCAATCCTTCTGCTTCTTGCAGAACAATTAAGTTTAAGGTTCTGTTCAGGCTTCTTTAAGGAAGTTTAGTGTATATTTACATTTGCATTTCAAAAGTGAGTCAGGAAAGAAGAAGTTTATAAACACTTGAGCAGCTTTGATTGTTCCATTATAAACACCCATAAATTTCTGTTGTTTTAGCAACAAAACTTTACTCACGCATAAGTTGCAATGCACATGAGTAAAATGGATAACCTCAAAACGCTGAATAGAAATTCTCTGTGGTTCTTTGATTGTTGTGGGTTTTTCAGGTTCTTGAAATGTATGTCCTTTAGAACTGTTACTTTTTTCTAATTCACTTGAAAGCTGAAGGTGATGTTTGTACCTGTTTAAGTTAACTTTTCCTCTGAGCGAGCTTTATGGAACAGAGGAGAAGGCGTAGCTCTGAATGAGGAGGTACAAATGTACATTAGCAGCATTTGATTATTCTAGGATGACTGCAAGGTGATGATACAAATCTCCAAAGCTGCATGCCAAAGTCTGAAAGACTTCAGATATTGCACATTTTTTTTTATGCCAAGGTCAGATTCTTAGTCCTAGAGATTATATAAATCAGAAATGGATACCTAGCCAGTGTTGTGATACCTACATAATGTTGCAAAAAACTTATGGAAAATACTGGTTGCACATCATTTCTCCAGTTCAGTAAGCTGTGGCAGTTCTGTTTCCACGTATGCAAAAAGGATTTGTTCTTTGCTTTTTATGTCATGAGCTTCAGCGTCATGAGGGTGAATAAAGGTTTATCTTTACATAGCTGACACGCACCAATCATTTTGAAGTACAGATAGTGTTTAGGTTACTTAAGAGTTTGACTGATTTTGCAAGCAGCCAACTGTATGAGTCTTGGCATTCGAGGAATTATTATAAAAATGCACTGAATATTTCCATTGGTATGTATCAGACGGTATTTAACCCTAGGCTCCTTTACTGGCTGTATTGCATGTGGCAACATCTACAAAGGGTGCAATAAAAATTATAATTGTTCAGAAATAGCGTATCTTTGAAATACGTGGACTGACGTGTTTTCTGGGAGCCAGTACACTAGATAACTGGTTCTTCACTATCAGATTTATTTAGATTAATACAGCAACTATTTTTCTATCTTCTAGCTTAAGAATATGCTTTCAAGTGTTGCAATATTTTCCTGATTTAGTACCCTAGTTGCCACTGAAAGTTTAGTCTCAGAATGATTTTTGGTTTTTGCATTTAAAAATAACATCTGCATATCTTGAAATGCAGAACCTTGAACAGTAGCATCAGAAAAACAAATATAAAATTGTATTGTAAGGAAGCAGACATCGATATAATGTCCACATTAGTTTCCTGTTGATGCTGAAAGTATTGAAGAAGTGCCAGCGCTTACCCCACGCTCCTACAATCTTCTTGCTGCAGCTCTGTTCTTATCACAGCTTCTGGCATCAGACAGGAAACTTAGCTATGGAAGTAAGGAAGTTTCTTCTGTATAGCTCAAAGTCCAAGACAGTGTCAGGAAATATTATATATTTAGTGATTTTAGATCTTACTGATTTTAAGACAAGATCATTTAAATGATGTAAAGTATAATGAGAATTAGCAGCTCCCTCCAGCGTTCCCCGTTTACTTCTGACTTGCTTACACATTTCCCCACACGACAAGTCTTGAATTCTCATCTGTTTTTTTCCATCTACCAGTGGAGTTGCATGCAGTGCTTTTATACAAGTAGATGAATGGAATGTTAAATTATATGCAGGTTGATCATTGGCGGCTTTAAAAATCGTTTTGCCGTTTCTTCCCATTTCCGTGGGGTTTTGTTTTGTGAAATAACTTTGATCTTATCGGGTGGTACAGTACAAGGTCTTGATACAACAGTTTGTGGAGACACTTTGTATAAACTACATGTGTAATAGTTATCATTTTCATTTTTGACCCTTTTTGTGTTCCCAGCTTACAAATTTGGAGAGGAAGTGGCAGCACCATGAGCAAAATAACTTTATGATGAAGGAATGTATCCTTTTCTTTAAGGAATACACTAAAATCTACACACTCCATTAATTAAGGAAGAAGTCTGTTTCCTCCAGCAGAAAAAGACAGGACGGAGTGGGGAGCAGGAGACAGGGGAGGAGGGGAAAGGTGATGCTCTGCAAATGTCTGTTGAGGTGACAGATATTATATATAGCAAAACTCGCATGTGTTGTCTGAAACAATTTTTCAGGGTCCTAAAGTGTAAGATTTGTCTTGCAGTCTGGAGTTTTTCCTGCTGGGCCAGTTTTGCCATCAGGTTTCATATGAAGATCATCTTCACATCTCTCCAGCCTTGTCTGAAATTATCCAGCAAGTGCAGCATTGTTTGAAAATCTGTACAGCACGGTGGCTTTGCGTGGTGTTTGCCATAAATATAAATGGTGAAAAAGTAAAAAACAAATTGTATTCATTCAATGTATTTCTTATCAATTAAAATTTGAGGCATGTAAAGAGGCAAATAAAACTGCATGCTGGGGGGCAAAAATCAGGTAAGTGTAGTGAGGTATGACAAGGAGGTGCTTTAGCTGCAAAATGGGCTGGGATGACGAAACTCATGCTATGTGATGCTAATTAAAGAATTCCACTAGTCATATAAAACCTTCCAAAATATCAGAAAAATCTTATTTAATGAAAGTGACTTTCATATGGCAGTTTTTGAAATTAGCCAAAGCATTGAAGTTCTTTTGATTAGAATTGATGGTTCTTCTTATCTTGTGCTGTTCTCTGCAGTTATTGCAGACATCTGAGTAGGGCATAATTGTACTCTTGTTTTGTATTCTAAGGACTTTGAATTCACTGCAATGATTCTTCCAAATTATTTAGAAAACAAAAAATCTGAAGTCTCAAAGACACATTCAATCACTGTTATACGATGACAGTACAAGCGTAACTGGTAAAAGTAACAGCCAAACTGGTGTCATCCAGTGTTGTGTATTGAAAAGTGGATACTACTGGGTGTCTCAGAAAATGGCACAGGAATGTGTTTCGTGCTATTCTGTAATAGCTGAGCCATCATGGAAAAAAATAATAACCTAGGATTTGCACATAGCATTATCTTTTGCATATATGAAATATCCCACTTCTTGTATCTGATAAGTGTTCCAGTTTTTAGAAAAAAAATCTGAAAAATGTCTTGGACAACTTAATGTGATTGGAACCACCTCCACTAGGAAGAAGGCTCTACTGGAATATTTTATTAAGCTAAGACTCTTAGATTGTGTTTTTTCTATTAGAAAAAACTCTATAACAACCAAGAGAAAATGTTGTTCAGGGTATTAAAAGCACTTCCTAACCTACTGCAATGTGTTACCTATCCAGGTGCAGGCCCTTACACAGTTTTATATCTGCTCAGGCCAAGTAAAGGTCCTGCTTTCTGGGACTGGCACTTGCGTAGCCAAAGTTCCAAAGTGCCAGACTGTACAGCTGTAAAGAGCGGAGTGCCCAGAAATGGATTTGTTTCCAACGTGACAGTGGGCACAGTCTTCCACAAGAGACTTATTGCCTACATACATGAAAACAAAACGGATTCAAGCACATAGTTGCCTTTTTCTACCATGCTTGTCATGAGATGGCAGCTAGTGGATTGACGTAAATCTTTTAGACCCAACTGGAGTTTTTTCCGTTATTTGCAGCCCTTCGCAGTTTTCACAAAGGGAAACTTTACTGTATTGTCGCTCCTTTAGGATCTCTAATTATGCTGATATTTGTACTGGACGTTCGTTTCCTTAATTCCTTTAATCAGTCATAGCAACAAAAAGTCAGGAGAGTGACTACCAGCCAATTATGAAGAACGTGAGAAAGCTGGTCACAGAATACAACAAAGCTCTCATAGAAGCTTTGCAGAGCGCCAAGAACTGAACCCAGGCACTTCCTTCCAGGGGACCAACAGTCAGAGATGTGCACAGGCAGCACGGAGAGCTGGGCTGCTGAGCTCATTCGCTCACCACTACAGCAACAGATATTCTTAAATGTATTTTTCCAGGTTTTTAGAAGTCACAGATTTTAATAGTGTTCTTCCTTTTGCAGCATTTAAAAATTTTAGAAACGAACTTCTGAATTTTGGAAATTTGTAGAAATAAAAAGAAATTACTGCACAATGAGTGTAGTAATTATCAGATTATTTTACTGAGGCCAATTGCTGGATTGCATCTCAAATGTGAAAGTTCAGTCTGCTTTACACGACGAAGCTCTAATTGTCTTGTTGTCTAATTGTCCCTGCCAAACAGAGTAGGAGTTTCCCTGAATCAGAACTGCCTGACAGGCTCGCTCTTATTACTAAAGGTAATAAATACATTCTCTCTTATTATTACAGGTAATAAACACATACCATCCCTATGTAAATAGCAATTTATAACAAGTAAGGAGAACACCCAAGGATGACAAACATCTTTTTAAGTTGGAATTATTTCATAGTATGAAGTCTTACAATAAAAGTAAATTAATTCGGACCTGTCAGCAAATACTCATTTCTGATTAACTTCCTTATTTCATAGGGTTTTGTAAATGTAATTATAATGAGAGAGCTGTGATAAAAACTACTGAAACATAGCTAATACTTACCTTGTGAGGAGCATTTTACTTTTGTAATATTCACCAATAAAGGAAATAACAGGGAAAGTTATTTGTATTTTCTGCAACTTTTCTTTTCCCCTCAGATTTCAAACTGCAGCAGTGTCATGTGCAACATCTACTCTGACAAAACTATGTACAGAGTTTCAATGTAGAACAAAACCAGGACTGATACAGAAATAACAATGTGCCTTATGATACTGAAATTTCAGAAAATGTTTACAGAAAACAAAATTTCCGTGTGTATATTTCCCACACGTTCTATGTGTAATGTAATGTAAACTATGTGCTGATAATTTTCCCCATGTGGTATGGATAGGACTTTTAGCCAGCCAGTAATCTAGCCTTTTACAAAAAATAAAATAAAAAAAAAAAGTGGGGTCTGGATTTATAGTTGTTCTGCTCTCTTAGAAAAGTTTTCTGAAAAAGATACAGACTATATGTTTCACTTTATATAACTGAGTTAGACAAAGAATTAGAAAATGTGCAGAATCTATTAGAAGTTCTCTGGTTTTGTCACTAAATTTCTCCATGATTGTCATTTGGAGTAAGTATGTAACACAAAGCTATTGAAGATACTTTTCAGGGAGCACTGTGTTTCCAGATTCATCACAGTAAATACTGCTGCTCTGGGTATTTATGCCTATATAATGTATAGAGATAATGGAACAGGATTTCTATAAACCAAGGACTGTTATCTATGGGAAATTCCCACTAATGTCTCTTCCTTCCTGCCAAAGTTCCAACTATTCCAGAGAGAGACCATTATTTGCTGAGATAAAGTTTAATATTCTCACCTATCAAACCATCACCCTGAGAGATCACCCCCTGAATTCCAGTTGTGCTACAATAACATATTTTAATGAACAATGGAAAAAAGCTGCAGACTGAGTAAACAGATTGCTTTAAATTCGCTTTTGCTTGGGGCAAGGCATGGTTTTACACCATGGCAGAGATTCTGTAAGAAGGCATGGTCGTATTTACAGGTTTTTGTTGCATTCCCCAGGAGATGCCTGTCATAAAATATCTCGCTCAAGCATGCTGTTCTTTTGAAAGATCTCCAGATTTCCTGTTTCTGTCTGAGAATCTCTTCAGTTTTTCTTTTTTTTAGCAGTATGTTCTTATGGTCCCAGATCATGTTCATAGTATCTGTGGCTGAAGAGAACTTTATGGATTCTAACTGGTGAGCTATACAGCAGGCTTTTAATCTTCTTCTAGGAGATTAGTAACTTATTCGTAGCAGTGAGCTGAGTAAATTGTAACCATATCTAGTCTCACTGAAAATAACTTTTTCTTTAACTTCCTGTAGTACAAGCTTAAGTACCAGACACACAGCATTTTTTCACCAGCGCTCATAGAATCATAGAACAATTCAGGTTGGAAAAGACCCTTGGGATCATCAAGTCCAACCACTGACACTACACTACAAGTTCACCCCTAAGCCATATCACCCAACACCACATCTAAGCGACACGTGAACACATCCAGGGATGGCGACTCAACCACCTCCCCAGGCAGTCTATTCCAGTTTCTGATCACTCTTTCTGTGAAGAATTTCTTCCTAATGTCCAGCCTAAACTTGCCCTGTTGCAACTTGCAACCATTCCCCCTGGTTCTGTCCCTAATTACCTGTGAGAAGAGACCAGCACCAACCTCTCTACAATGTCCTTTCAAGTAATTGTAGAGCATGATGAGATCCCCCCTCAGGCTCCTCTTCGTCAAACTGAACAGACCCAGCTCCCTCAATCGCTCCTCATAAGGTCTGTTCTCCAGGCCCTTCACCAGCTTTGTTGCCCTCCTCTGCACTCGCTCAACACCTCGATATCTCTCCTATACTGAGGTGCCCAAAACTGAACACAATACTCAAGGTGTGGCCTCACCAGTGCTGAGTACAGAGGGACAATCACCTCCCTTCTTCTGCTGGTCACAAAATTTCTAATACAAGCCAGGGTGCCGTTGGCCTTGTTGGCCACCTGGGCACACTGCTGGCTCATATTCAGCCGGCTATCATGTATGTGTATCCGTGCAGTGGCAGTAACAGGTCTCTCTATTGAGGCAATGATTTATCCATTTTATGCTATGACTTCAAACTGAGAGTATGTGAATTAAGCAGTAGCATCTATGGGGTGAAGAAATTTAAAATCTGTTCTGCTCACGTGTCTCCTTCAGGGCTCAGCAGAGGTAAGGATCACCTCCTCTAGCCTGCTGACTGTGCTTTTCCCAGCACAACCCAGCGATGCTCTTGGCATTTTTTTGCTGTGCATTGTTGGCTCTAGGTCAGCTTGGTTCACTAGGAAGGACCTTAAAGTCCTTCTCAGCAAAGCTGCTCTCCAGCCACTGAGGCCCTAGTGTGTACGGGTGCCCTGGTTGTTGCTCTGCTGCGGGACCACACATTTTCTTTGTGTAACTTGATGAGATTCTTGTCTGCCTGTTTCTTCAGCCTGTTGTACAGGGAGGATTTGTTCACTGCTTATGGTCATGGGCAAAAAACAGAGTAGACTTGGGGAGAAAACATTAATTTACCACCACCAGTTATCAACTGGACCAAGTAGCACAAGGAAAAGTATTCATAAATAAATACAGCCTGATCTTAAATATAATCTGCCCCACCTTTCCCTTTTTCTGGCTACCTCCTCCCTTCCTTATTGGTGCAAGAGGGGGCAGGGGTTGGGGTTGCGACCCATCTGGCAGCCCTTCCCTCTTGGGAAAGCAGGCTCCTCACAGCCTTGCCCTGCTGCCACGTTGTGTCCATCTCATGGGAGGCAAGTCTTTGCCTCCACATGAGTCTTTTCCAGCAGTGCAGGATCCTCCCTCGAGTCATGGCATGCTTTGGGCACATCCTCCACTCCTGTGCAGTCTCTCTCCCCCTGGTATGGGATCCACCACGTGCCACCACATCCTGGACATCACCACTGTCAGTACCTTCTCAGTTCTCAAGCAATCATGTCTCTGCTATCTAATTCACCGTGGGACGCTGGGGAGATGCTCTACTCTGGTGCCTTTCTACCCAGCTGCTTTCTCACCTTACCCTCCTCCAAACAGAAGAACTCTCCAAGACAAAAGACAGAACACCGAGACAAAAAGACAAAGAGATAAGGAGAGACTGGCCCAGTGGGTTTCCCCTCTTAAATATCTTGATGGCAGAGGCACTGATTGGCCTGCCCTTGGCCAGAGACAGATCCAACTGTTACATGGGGCTGTGGGAGGCTCTGGAAGTTTCACAAGGAGCCATCGCCCACAGCCCTGCCCCTGTCACCGAAAACCCGGCCAGACTCAAACTTACGACAGTGACACTTTGTTCCTTTTTTTCAGTCTTCAGAAGACTTTCCCTATCACTGTGAAAAACAAATCATTGAGAACAATCTCACAATGCCATCAGCCAGCTCCTTCTGGACAGGTGGGCGCATCTTAAGAAGCCCCGAGGACTTAAATATATCCAATTTGCATAAAATTTCCTTAACTTGGTCCTCCTCCAGAAGATGCCACTGAAGCATTATGATACCAGACTTGACACTGTTCCTCCAAATCCCACTTCACTAGCAGACTATACGGTCACAAGCATTTCCGTTTCAAAATCTTCGACCAGACGATCTCTTATTTCTATGTTATATTTCTGCTTTGCATGGGGATTGAGTACAGGAACGACCATCATTATTCCCACCTCATGATGAGAAGACGCTGCACCAAACTTGTTCCTGTATTCAGGAATGTCACATCTCTAGGCAAGCTGAGTTTTTGCTGCAGGCAAGAATTAATCCTGTTCTTGGTCTTCCTGCTTCATTTAACCTTTGCTGTGATAAAAAAATTATTCTTCTTTCAGAATGAGTTGATTATTTTCCTTGCATTTAGTGCGTTTAGCAGACAACATGCAGCATTCCTGTGAGCAAATCCAGACATGCAGAACACCGAGATTATTTTTTAGTTTATTCTAATGAAGGTTGATTACTGAGAAGGGGAACTAAACTGCTCCCCAAAAAAATAGTAATCTTTTTCTTCACCAGTAAAGAGAAAGGAAGACTTTAAACTTTTCATAACTGCAGAGATGATCAGAATTCAAATCTCAGCTATGATCAATCATTTGTTGAGCTCAGCAGAAGTTTGGAGTAGAGGAAGAAATGTTTCTCACCATGACTTGTGGGATACATTTGCAGGTTGTTCTGTCAGGAAGGAGGACTAACTGGACAATATGCCAAATATGTGAAACAGAGGAAGCCTCCCACATTTAAAAAAAAAAAAAGGCCAGAAATGTAGAATGATCTGCTCTGGTTTCCTCTTGTACAGCTAATTCC